AAAAGCATTTAAAACTGAAGTCGTCTGGCCGACCAACTGACTTGAACGTGTTTAATGAAGCAAGAAATAATTTTTTCTTTTCTAAAAGTGCGCACTACAAATTCATGCTCCAGTCATCGAGTGCAGTGTGATGTGATGAACTGATTGCGATAAGCTGCTGATGCTGCTGCTGTCTAAATCTTCAGCGACAATTGTTGATTGTCTTGAAGCTAACTTATAACTGGTCAACTTTTTGCTACCCATTTCCAATCTTAATTTCTCAATCTTTGAACTCATCCAATGTAAAGTTCAGGCACTTTTTCTTTTCTGTATTTGTAACCTTCCTGCAATACCGTTTTCTTGCCAACCAGTGCCTCGTACTGAAGTCGTCCGTTTTTGCACCTTTATTTTGCACTCTGCCAGCTGCTATCATTGCCGGGGCACACTAAGTTTGGTCGTTGCAGGGCAACTGTATCACCAACTTTGTTTGGCTATACCATCTGCTCTTGCACTACTCAAGAGGCTCATTAAAAAGAAAGAAAAAATGGTCTAAATTTTTAATAAAGAAGGAAGATTATTACTATTTGAGAGCACAAGTTACAACAAGATTAGGCGGTAAAATTAATTGATTGGCAATTGATTGTTAAAAGTTTTAAAATGGGCAACACATTTTGCATGAACACAAACGCAATAAGTCAAGCAGTAATTGACTATAAAAGGGAGGTCGATTCTTAGCGAAGAAACACAAAAACAACACCTCAACTTGCTAAGTTGTTTACTTTCCAGAACAAAATTGCCACTAAGAAGCTATGAAACTGCTAGTTTTTGTAGCCTGCCTGGCGGCTGCAGCTGTCACCTGTGGGACACTTCCTGGTGAGACTTTTTTGTGAAATGCTGAAAATTAATTTTTACAATACCTTTTATTCCTTAGCTCCTTCGGCACCAGCAGCACCAACAGCCTGTTCCACTGAAATGTGCAACCGGACGGCCAAGTTCATCGCCGACTCGCTGGACAGCAGGCTCAACCCTTGTGAAGACTTTTACCAATTTACCTGTGGAGGCTTCAACGCCAAGCGAACCATTCCCGAGGACAAACTGGCCCTCAGTCCGTACGACGACATGTCCGACCAGATGAACCGAGACATCGTCCAGCTGCTGACCGACTTCAAGGTGGACAGTGAACAGGGGAGGAAGGCGGCGAAGGCGGTCAGACTGGCGGCGGCATCCTTTCAGAAGTGCATGGCACTGGGCGACAACACCGCTCGAAGCAATGAAGAGGGCCTGAAGTACGTGAAGGAAGTGGTGCAGGAGGTGGCCGGACACGGCTGGACGATTGGCCAGAAGGTGGAAAGCTCAGGAGGACGGAAGGAGCGGTCGTGGCAGGAGACGGTAGTGCAGGGCTTCGCCAAGGGCATGGTCGTCTCGCCCTTTGCACTCGCCATCGGTCCTGACACCGCCAACTCATCGGCCAATCTGATCTACGTAAGTTTGCTGGGAGTTTTTTTAGCAAACAAAACAAAACAATGGCAAACAATAACAAATACTTTTTCATTTGCAGCTAGCCCCCGGCGACCTCGGACTGAAGCCCTTTGAGCTGGCGAACCTCTCCTCTCCGGTGGTGACTGCCTACAAANTCGGCCAATCTGATCTACGTAAGTCTGCTGGAAGTTTTTTTTTAGCAAACAAAACAAAACAATGGCAAACAATAACAAATACTTTTTCATTTGCAGCTAGCCCCCGGCGACCTCGGACTGAAGCCCTTTGAGCTGGCGAACCTCTCCTCTCCGGTGGTGACTGCCTACAAAACGTACATACGAGGCCACGCGAAGTATTTTTGCGGCAATGGTGATGACCACAACACCACCTGTCCGCACCTGGAGGCGGACATCGAGGCGCTGGTGAAGCTGGAGGCAGAGCTGGCCGCCGCCCGCATGTCCGTCGACGACTCGCGCAACCCGGCGCTGGTGGACGTGCGAATGAGCGTCCGGCGGCTGAGCGAGCTGACGCACCTCAACTGGGCCAGCGAGGTGCTGGCGCCCATCTGGAGGGCGCTCGCCATTTCAAATAGTCCCGACCAGTCGACCACCTTCCTCCACCTCTCCGACGTGAACTACTTCGTGAAGGCGGTGGCGGTGCTGGGGCGGGCCTCGCCTCGGACGGTCGACCAGCTGCTCGGCTGGCAGGTGGTGGCCCGGGCCGGCGCCCTCGCCTCTGAGCCCCTTCGCCGGCTGCAGTTCGCCTTCTGGGAGGTCCGGTACGGCCTGCGGCGGCAGCCGGCGCGCACCGACAACTGCCTCTACCTGGTCAACGGGAAGCTGGGCACGCCGGCGCTTTCCTTTGCCCTGTCGCGCCTCTACGTGGAACGGCACTTCTCCGCGGTGGAGAAGGCGGAGGCGACGACCCTGGTGGACGGCATTCAGGCCTCATTCAGGCGGCTGCTGCTGCTGGAGGGAAGAAACAACTGGCTGGACGCGGAGACGAAGGCTGCCGCCCTGCAGAAGATCACCGCCATGAGCAAGAAGGTCGGCTACGCCGAGTCGCTGCTGGACAATGGCCACCTCGATGGGCTGCACGCCCTGGGGAATGCCTCCTTCGCGGAGGGGCTCATTGCGGAGCGGAACTACCTGAAGGCGATGCTGCAGATGGCAGTGGCGATGAATAGAAAGCAGTTGGGGCAGCTCAACGGTCGTGGTCTCTACCTCGATGAGTAAGTTTAGTGAGCAGTTTAGTGGGAGTTTTAAAAGCATAACTCAATTATTTGTTCTGCTTTGCAAAACCAGGTGGCTTCTACCGCCGGCCAGCATCAATGCCATCTATTTCTACTACGACAACAGCATTAGTGAGTGAAGGATGGCAGAAGGAAAAGCTTGTTTTTCTAAAAATTCACACTTTTTTTCATTTCCACGTTTTCAGCCATCCCCGCTGGCTTCCTCAAGTTCCCCACCTTCAGCGCCGAACGGAATGAGAGCTTCGCGCTGAACTACGGCGTCATTGGCTCCTTCATCGGCCACGAGATCACCCACGGCTTCGACGACACCGGCCGGAAGTTTGACGCCGTCGGCAACCTCCACAACTGGTGGAGCAACGCCTCAGAGGCGGGCTACCTCACCAGGGCGCAGTGCTTTGTGAAGCAGTACGGCGACATTGTCGAGCCGGAGACGGGACTTCATGTGAGTGGGGCTGGGAGGGGGCAATGAGAGTGAGAGAGTGAAGCAGAGAGCACGTTTACTAATTCTAACATGTTCGAACACACACAGCTGAACGGCAAGAATGGCCTCGGGGAGAACATCGCCGACAATGGCGGCGCCCACGTCAGCTTTGAGGCCTTCAAGGCGCGCCACCTGCGCAGTCCGTCGGCTCGACTGGCCGCCCTTCCGCAGTACACTCCCGAGCAGCTCTTCTTCCTCATTTGGGGCACTGTAAGTATTCTTCTTCTTTTGTTTCTTCTTCCCCTGTTCTCTTGCTCCCTACCATTTACCATGATCGCCTGTTTGCCTGTTTCACTAGGGCTGGTGCGCCAAAACTCGACCTGAGCTGCAGAAACTGCTGATCATGACTGACGGCCACTCGCCAAAGAAGTACCGCGCCAATGTGCCGCTGATGAACTTGCCCGCCTTTGCGGAGGCCTTCAAGTGTCCACTAGGTTCAAAGATGAACCCCAAGTTGAAGTGCTCCGTCTGGTGAACTGTGTTTTTGCTTTTTCTGGGCATGAAAAAATGTTAATAAAATGATGAAATTAAATAACAATAAAGGGTGTGCATTGAAATGAAATCATTTTGCCTTTGGAGAATCACTGAAAGACTGGAATCAATTTTTTGAGCAGTACTCTAAACAGGCGTTTGTTGAAAGCAGAGCTTGTTGAAAGAAAACNGGTACCGCGCCAATGTGCCGCTGATGAACTTGCCCGCCTTTGCGGAGGCCTTCAAGTGTCCACTAGGTTCAAAGATGAACCCCAAGTTGAAGTGCTCCGTCTGGTAAACTGGGTTTGCGCTCTTTCTGGGCATGAAAAAATGTTAATAAAATGATGAAATTAAATAACAATAAAAGGTGTGCATTGAAATGAAATCATTTTGCCTTTGGAGAACCACTGAGAGACTAGAATCAATTTTTTGAGCAGTACTCTAAACAGGCGTTTGTTGAAGGCAGAGCTTGTTGAAAGAAAAAGAGAATGAAAGTTTGGATGAGCAGTGTTGCTTATTGATGAAAGAATGAAAAATAATGAGCAACTGAGCACCGAACTGTCCAGTGGTCTTCATGTCTCTTTCCAGAGCATCTCAATTTTTAGATAAGACAGTATGACGAAAAATGCAAAATCGGAAACAGACAAACTTTTGCTTATGTTACAATTGACAAAATTCATCAGATGAAAATTTTTTTATTTTAATGTAAAAACAAAATTACAGTTAAGTAAAGTTGCCGAAAAGTTTGAACTACAATTTTTATAAGTGTTATAAACACATGTATCTAGCCAATAAATAAATTTTCTAGGCATAGCTGTTGACTGTATTTTGTTTTAGAAAAATAAATACTTGGATCACGTTCCTTCTGAAAACTATAAATCGAATAAATATGTAGTTTAATCATTTCATATTTGTCTAGTTGATTAATTTCCTGTTGTTTTTCAGAGTAGAAACATTTTGGCCGTTTTAAATATTCTTTGAGATTCAGAGCCATCAGAGAACGATCAGGATGAGTATGGAGATCTATTTTCCAGTCACATGCAGTGCACGCAAAACTCTCGGTGCTAAAAGTCATTTTCAAAGTTGCAACATTCGGAAAAACGGTTGTCAACTGCCAACTGCTAAAGATGTTGTGATTGATGGCTGGACACCTCCAACTCAATTTCAAAGTTTTGATAGTTGGCAAAACTGTAGACAACTGCTGATCAGGGTTCAGTTCACTGCCAATGATGTTATATTGTTCCCAGTTTCTATGTGACAAAGACAACCCAAACTTAATTAGTTTTTTTAAATTGGCAAGCTGTTCAATTAGAAAGGGATATGAAATATAACGAGTTATTGAGATTTCAAGAATTGTAAGGTTGTTGAATGTGTTGCAAAAAGGGGTTACATTTTCTGGATAAATCATTGAAACGGAGTTGAGAGAGTTAATGGTTGCAGCCACATCTGCATTGGGAAAAAAGTCTGTAGACAAGTTCATTTTCAAGTTGAGTGTTAAAGGTGGAAGTAAACAAGAGCTAGACTTTGAGTTAGTATTTACATCAAGTTTGCAACGTTTTTCCAAAACCGGTTCCCATAAATTAAAAAGATTATTAAATTTATTTGAGAAACTGGCTAAATCAAACTGCTCAAGTTGACCTAGTACGGGCATCTCAAATAGTGACTTGAAATAGCTATTGTAATAGATGAACAGACGCTTCAGTTTAGACATTGAAGAATTGATCACTTTGATGACACTCAGAAAATGTTGTTCTGGAACGAGTTCAATGATTACCACTTGAAAAGAGATGAGTTTAGGAGCAAAAACGGTGAGTAGACGAACTAGTTGAGCAAACACTTCATTTTGATTTTTGGAGATCTTTCCAACTATGATTGTAAGTTTTTGTAGCCGAGGAAAAAGATTGATTAAAGTGTTGACAATGAAGGCGTCCAAAGAAGTCATGTGCAGAGTACTGTTTCGATGGGTTTTAAGATCCTGCGCATGTTGAGGCTCATACAAGATTGTTCGTTGACAGTCTAATTCCACATTGTCAAACCAGATTTCCTCTTCGCTAAAGCGAAGAATGAGAGTTTTTTGGAAATGGCAAATATCTTCAATGAGGTCAATCCACTGGTTGCACACATTTCGGTATTCGATTAGATAGTACAGTGGCAAAGACCGCAGAATTTGGCCAATGCAAAGCTCGGGCTGAAGTAAGTTGAGAAGCTGCTTGCTTTGCTTCAGCTCGGAATAAGTGGTCATTGCTATGTTGATGTTGTTGCTGGCAGACATGCTCATTCAGTAGTGTGTCACCTTCTGATGAAGGAACGACTTTGGGGTACCCTTTTATGAGTGCTTGAGCATTCCAAACAGGTTTTGGCCATTCTGCCGTGTCAGAGTGCAAAGGGTCCTAAGTTAGGACTCCTAACCCCCGGAGAGAGTCATTATCTGCAACCGAGCGTAATTAGGCAGTTGCGAGGGATTAGCTCAGCTAGGCCACTTTTCTATAGAACAATGTCAACTTTTCATAAATTACAATGACAAATACACAAGTGTTTGACCACTGAAAAACTGTCTTTTATTATGTTTCAATTAAGAAATGGCAATTGCGCTAATGAGAAACATTGTCCTTCAGTATATACTTATATTGTTATTTTAAGGTACCTATTTAAAAGCTGGCAATTTTTTAATGACAAACTTTTTCAAAGTTGCTGAAATTTTTAAACAGGTATTTGAAAGTAATGGCAGTATGCTGTAAAAAAATTCGCTAGAAAGAGTTAATTCGCAACTTTGTGAGATTATGGCAGTGTCTAAAGATTATCGTAGCAAGGTTTTTTCTGCAGAGTATTTTAAGTTTTCTATATTGTTTTTCCGTTTATATAATTTTGCCTTTAACATGATATTCAAACGTACTTTTGAAAATTATTTTATGTTTTTGAAAAAACATTTGTTTTTGCTGTATAAAAATCAGTAAAAGTTTAACAGCAAACAGTGTTTGGTTAAAATTGAATCAATAATTAAAATCAAGTTAATCACAAGTATAGATTTACCTCGTAAAAAGTGCAGTAAAGAAAAGCAGACCGCTGACAATGTAGATAGACAAACTTTTGCCTATGTTACAATTGACAAAATGCATCGAATGCAAAATCTTTTATTTTAATTTAAGAACAAAATTACAGTAAAGTTCCGAAAAGTTTTAAATACAATTTTAAAAAGGTTTTAAACACATGTTTTTAATCAAATGAAAGATAAATCCTCAAAACTTAAATGCTGATTGATTTTTGTTTTAGAAAAAGTTACATAACGAGGACAATTTTTTTCCCACCGTTGTTTTCTCGGCTCAATATGCAGTTTAATCTTTTCATATTTGCCTAGTTGATTCATTTCCTGTTGTTTTTCAGAGTAGAAACATTTTGGCTGTTTTAAATATTTTGTGAAGTTCAGAACCATATGAAAGCGATCAGGATGAGCATTAGGATCAATTTTCCAGTCACATGCAGTGCACGCAAAGTTGTCAGTGTTAAAATTCATTTTCAAATTTGTCACATTTGGAAAAACAGTTGTCAACTGCCAACTGCTAAATATGCTGTGATTGATGGCTGAACCACTCCAAGTCAAACTTAAAATTTTGATGGTCGGCAAAACTGTTGACAACTGATCAGGGTTCAACTCACTGCCAATGATGTTAAATTGTTCCCAATTTTTCGGTTTAAAAGACAACCACAACTTAATTAGTTTCTTCAAATTGGCAAGCTGTTCAATTATAAAGGGATATGAAACATGATGAGCTATTGAAACACTAAGAATAGTTAGGTTGCTGAATGTGCTGCAAAAACGGATTAATTTTTGTGGAGTAGATATAAAAATGCAGCTTAAAGAGTTAAAGNAATGTGCTGCAAAAACGGGTTAATTTTTGTGGAGTAGATATAAAAATGCACACACACAGAAATATGCCTCATATGCTTATGAGAATGACTTAAATTCTCATAATGATGTGAGAGTTTCTCATAAGTGTATGAGAATTTTTTTTTCTCACATTGTTATGAGAAATTCTCATAAAATTATGAGACAAACTCTCATATTATTATGAGAACGTTTTTATAAAAAATAATATTTTTTAAGTTCTCACAACGATATGAAACTGCTAAAGCTCTCATAACAATGTGAGACATTTTCGGACTTAGAAAAATTTTTAAATTTAGTCTCATAACTGCATGAGAGTTTATTAAAAACAGTTACCAAAAAATTAAACGAGTTTGTGATAATCAATATTTTATTTACAATATCCACTCGAGCAAATACATTTTTGAATCTATTACTTCTTCTTCTCTTTCTTCTTTCACTACAAAATAAAAATCATTGTTAAAGTGGAGTTGTGTTAGTTCTATGTACCGTTCTTCAAAACCAGGAATAGTTTCTAGCTCATAAAGATGATTGTGAAGTTTAACGAATAATAGTTGGTTGCTGGAATTACGTTTTGTTTTCTTTCTGAGGACTTTTCCACAACAGTAAATAGTGTCAGAAGTGTTGCTTTTGTAAAAATCAAAAGTCAAAAAGTACATGTCTCTTCGTGTTTCAAGTTTGCGTAAAATCAGTTTCTCCAAAGGGAAAGGACGAATGGAAGATAGAACTGGAGAGCAAATTTCAGGTAGTTCAAAGAGAAGTTGAGGGTTGCCGGTAAAGCAGGAGAACAAATTGACGTTTCTATAATTGCTTGTTTCCAAAAAGAAAGCACGGTGCTTTTGGTTTCGATTGTTGA